TTCTCGTCAGTGTACAGAGTTCCTTTCGATAATCAGTGTGTTTGGACTTCACCAGATGATAACCACAGAAACCCGTAATGATGCTATATTAGATTTATTTTTTAGCACTAATCCAGATTGTGTAACGTCTATCAGTATTATGGAAAGTATAAGTGACCACGCTCTGATCCATATTCAAACTTCACAGAACGTTAACCGCTCCGCGAATATTCCAAAGCAAATATTCGTGTTTTCGCGTGCTAATAACGATGGGATGACGGCAGCCATACTAAACTTCAAAAGATATTACATGTCATCTCATGACCAGAGAACCGCAAGCGAAAACTGGCTCCTTATTAAAAACATGTTCATAGAATTACTTCACACTTTTGTGCCAAAAACTGCTATTCCATCTGACCTTGCATCTCCTTGGTTTACCAACAGTCTAAAACGTATGTTAAACAAAAAGAAAAGACTATTCTTAAAAGCAAAAAAGACTGGACGACTTTGCTGCTTGGTCATCATATCGCTTTCATTCAAAGTTGTGTAAATTCGAAGTAAAAAAAGCAAAATTAACATTTTTTCCCGTCACCCTACCTAACATTCTTTCCACGGACCCCAAGGAATTTTGGAAAATAGTTAAACCAAGAGAAACTAAGAATAGCCCTTCGTTTGTAAACGACCAGGCACTTAGTGATGACCAGACGGCCAATTCGTTAAATTCATTCTTTTTGCAGTGTATTTACAAGTGAAATATTTCCACTGCCATGTTACTCTCTATCTCATCAGGAAATATGCATGCCTTCAATCTTATTCATCCCGGAAGGAATCCACAAGGCAATTCATAACCTGTCTTCTAATAGCGCCCCTCGAAATGATGGTATCTCGGCCAAACTACTAAAAATGACACAGCACTCAGCATCAAAAATAATCAGCGCTCTTTTTCAACGAAGTTTAAATTCTGCTGATGTACCAGCTGACTGGTGATTCGCCCGAGTTCAACCCATTTTCAAATCAGGCAACAAATCAAATCCGTCAAATTACAGACCTATCTCACTTACCAGTGTGCCGTGTAAGCTTATGGAACACGCTATTTATTCTAATATTATTTCATACCTCGATCAACGCAACTTTTTTTCCCCAACCAGCACGGTTTTACAAAGCGCCACTCATGTACTAGTCAACTGTTTGAGTTTGTCACGGATCTTCATTTTAATAATCATTCCTCACTACAAATATTTATAGACTTTGCCAAAGCATTCGATACGGTCCCCCACTAACGACTACTCCTAACACTTTCTCTCCTCCAGATTAACCCTGTAGTCATAAAATGGATAGCTTCGTTCCTAACAAATAGACAACAGTCAGTTTCGATGAATGGTTCTTCATGTGACTCAGTCCCAGTATCTTCAGGCGTCCCCCAAGGTAGCGTTCTCGGCCCCCTTCTTTTTCTCATTGATATCAACGATCTTCCCTCTTCGATTACCTCAACTATCCGCCTATTCGCAGATGATTGTGTTATTTATAGAAAAATCTTAGACCCGACAGACCATAACGTCCTCCAAAATGACCTTGATGCTATATCTTCCTGGTGCTCAGAATGGCAGATGACCGTTAACCCCAACAAATGTAAACAAATGACCGTTACTACGAATTCAAACAAATCATACAGCCAATATACATTACTCATGCAGCAACTTGAATCTGTTTTACTATACAAATACTTAGGAGTAAACATCTCTGAAACTCTCTCATGGAAACAACACATCGATAACTTAGTCGCCAACTCATTTAAATCTCTAGGTTTCTTAAGGCGCTCCCTACACCTGGCCCCCACTTCAACAAAACTGCTAGCATATAAAACAATTATTCTCTCTAAACTAGAATATGCAAGTATCGTACGGCATCCGCATCAAAATTATCTTTCTTTCAAATTAGAATCTGTCCAAAGCAAAGCAGCCCGGTTCATATCAAACGACTTTTGGCCTCAGACTAGCGTCTCAGCTTTAAAAACAAATTTGGGTCTCACTCCATTGTCTACCCGGAGCAATATTTACCGCATATGTTACTTTCATGACTTATACTACAGCAACTCGTTCTCTAAAAACACCTATTGTCATTCCGCACATTATATTTCTCCTCGAACCGATAATTCCTGTAAGGTGCAGCAATACCAGTCACACCCTAATTCCTTCCTGTTTTCACCCTTAATATTATCGATTACTGAATGGAATAACTTGCCAGACGAGATGGTTACTAACACAAATCCCGTTGAATTTAAAACAATGTGCGAGCACCTGTGGCATGAATAGTACACGTACATGCTTGTTTGTTGTTTTCATAGTCGCTTTCCGTTTCTTCATATTGAAATTGTTGTTTTCTACATAGTTACGTCCAGTTCAAAATTACAGTTGTGTACGTACGATGTGATTTCCTTTTTGTAAACTGTGCTGGGCTGATTGCGATGATTTTGTTATACCAATGATTATGTTTGGAAAATTGTGTTACTATGTTGTTACAAATGCATGTACCACCTACCCCCCTCATGTAATGCGTCCTCAAAGACGCCCTTGAGGTAAATAAATGAAAAAAAAAAGAATAATTACATATATACATACAAGGGTTATTTTTATTCGAAACAAACTTTTTAAACTGGCGTCTTTACAGCTATGTGAATGCCATCTTCACTATATGTTTCTTGAGGTCGGCGGACATTCGAGGGGCGAACGAACAACCGTTCAAGTTTGGTGAATGATTAACTAAAATTCGCTAATGAACTCTTTAAACAATAAAAATAGATATTTGTTTTAATTATAATCTCGCTGAGCGTCACTGAAAGACACTGAATCGATAATTTTCGGAAAGACTTCGAGCGCGTGCGAAGCGCAGTAGTGCGATAAATTACCACCCGTGCAGCTGGTACATGGCTATGATAATAGACGGAAAAATCGCTTGGAAGATTTTTCACATGTAAAAAAAAATCAATTTTTTAAACAGCTTAGATGGAAAAAGGTTGTCATAAAACAATTCTACAACGAAGAAAAATGATTTTTAGAGCTATATTTACGGCGCTAAACAAATTTGTAGTTGGCGCCCGCGGGCGCTGCGGAAAAGTGGCTCTTATTTATCACGTGACTGGCCCTTTATCACGTGGTGCTTGCACTCCTTCGGAAGCTTCCTATGGCCTCTAAAAGTAACTTATTCATCTTTGTTTGAAGTATAACAAAAAACTAAGATTAATAAATAGATTTTAGAGCCCAAAGGAAACTCCTAAAAAAGCGCAAGCAGGCGTGATAGACCTGTGCGCCGGTCAGATGACGGAGGCGGCCCCCCGAAGCAGACAAACTTGTACGGCGGCGGCAACGGCGGCGTGGAGAAACGCGTTGGAGCGGCGTCGCACAACGCTGAGCGCGCGGCGGCGGCGTGACTTTGCGGCTGCGGCGTACAGGCCCACGACGTGACCAGCGGCGGCGCCCGCGGGCGCCAACTACAAATTCATTTTGCGCCGTAAGTATAGCTATAAATATTTTCTTCGTTCTAAATTCATTTTATAATGATCTTTTTCCATCTAGCCTGTTTAAAGAAAAAAAACTTTTTTTTCCTTTGCACGTGTCCTTTAAGGCAGCGGTAGCTTTGTACCTGCTGTACGAGCGGTAACTTTAGCCATACGCGGCCGTTCCTACCGAGTGTCTCGGCCCCGGTGGCATTCTGCAGCAGTTGCGGTGAACATAAAACAAACAAAAAAAAAAAACAACATATATTTTCAGTTATACAGCGAGAATATTCAACCGAGATTATTTTGTTAATTTTAGAGTCGAATATAAACACACCAGGTCTATATTTACATAAATAGATAGAAATATATCTAATACGAGGAATTTCTGCATTAACTACATAACAGAGAACACATCGTCGTAACATACAAACATATATCCCCTGAAAAATTTTCCTGGCTACGCCACTGCATAATATTTTGTAAGTTAGAGATGATGTAGAAGCATAGTTGACCCATTATTTACGATTTATTATGAAATACCCTAATGGCATTTTTATAACAGTGATGCAGTATAATATACAACTACATATCAAACATTGTGATTGGAACGTATACTTTGAAATGAAAGCTTCTCTCTTTAAGTTAAAAACTAGATTTTTTTCTTCTTTTTTTTTGTTTGTTTTGCGGATACTTTCCCGCATGGGGTGCAGAGATAGAGGCATAAGTGCCTGACGGAGACTCTGCCCCCCCCCCCCCCCCCCTCCCATGTAGTTCGGCCGTAGCAGATAAGGTAGGGGTGACATATGCAACAGCAAAGCGACAATGCAGAAGTAATATACGCACTCTGGAAACAGCAATCACTGGATCGCACAAGCCAGGCAAAACGTACCGTCAATAACAACAAAGCAACAAGGCAACAAAGCAGAGTGGAGATTAGATTATTCACAGATAAATCGGCTAAAATAGTTAAACCACAAGTGTCACAGATCTCATTAATAACGTCATTAAATTTACATTATAGTAGGTCACTAGTGTAGAACTTTGACCAACAAAAAAAATGGTCTAAATTCATACACATAAAGATGCCGAATAAGATAATTTCAGAATCCAGAAAAGAAAAAGAAAACTTCACAATGAAAATGTAATAGTACCGTTAACCCAAAACGTTCTGGATTTACTTTTGAATTTATAGAAAGTTGTATTATGGTTTACGTTCAATTCTATATTGTTTAAAATTTTAATAATTTGAAAAGTTAATGTTTGTGGACCATAATTTGTCCTTACGGGGGGCATTTTTATCTTTGTATCTCGAAGCGTATATACGCTCGCGCTGTTTGTTGGGGTTGTGTACAGTTCGTTCTTATGTATCAATTGTAACAGTTTAAAGTTTAACCTGGTCTGCCTTGAGCATATTATATTTTATAACGAGTGGTTCCAACTGTCCTTTGAAGTTTTGAAGTTCGCTATAAAAAAAAGTTTAAACCCACTTCTTGTGGTCTACCTCTGGAAAGAAAAAGAAGCCTTACATTTAGAATGGGAGCTTTTTTATTTTTAATCTGATGATTTTGTTGATACAGTGCTTGGCATTTTAGCAGTGCGGCTCAAAACGCACGATCACGGGAAATTCAACTGTTTTGAACGAAGTGCTCATTATTCTTTATTTCTCTAGCTGGGAGACTTCCTAATTCGCTGGAGAATGGCCTTGTGGACACCTCTGCGACCTCAGTAAGGTTGGCGACTGAGGGTCAATATTTTTCTGTAGCTGCAGCTGTGCCCACTTCTTCGTCGTTGATTGAATTAGTTTTGGTCGTGGGGTCAGTTTGAGTGGTAGAACTCGGCTCTTCCGTAGTTGTGAAAGGACTTCGGGGCACACAAATTCCATCCTTGCAAACACCGTACCTGTGCCAGCGAAGCTGTGGAGAAAGAAATAGTTAGAAAAACTAATGTTCCTTTACTCGTAGACATTGTTTTATTATATCCTCCGTGTTTCGACAACACTAGGGGTAATGAAAAAGCGTCCTGTTAAGGAAATAAGTAGAAATACTAGCAAAGATAAAAAAATTATAATACCAAGGTAATGTTTTAAGGGGCATTAGATAGGTCGCTCCAGTTTTAACTATTCAAACAGGTTTTGTTATAATCTTGAATATTATAATAGAAGTTGTTTAGCTTTAGCACCTACGAGTTTCCCAGAAAGATTCGCTGTTGTTTTGCTTATGTATAACAACGATTCCGTTTTATTCAGTCAGTACTAAGCAAACAGTGAACCCACTGTAATCGACATAACTACTGCTCCATAAAAAAAAGTTTTTAAGACGCACTGTGCACCAGTTATTACGTTGGGAGTTTTGTCATAGTTTTAGTTGGACCTATTTTTGGTCTCAGTGTCGAACGCTCGTGAGAAAACTGTTGTTGAAATACGGAGATTAGGTACACGTGTATAAGTTTCGTTTACTCTTTCATCTGCTGAAATTTAAATCACATGGCACCAGAAAGGTGGACGAGATGTGTTTCCGGTCCCTTCAGTTCTATGACGCGTTACAAAATATACTATATTGCTAGTTTACAGCAAACTAGTATTCCGAAAATAAACTTTTTTGGTTCACCACGACGCCAACCGACGATTTCGCTTAGAATATTAGCGGTTGGCGCTAAATCTCAGTGAGAGACATTGGGGGCCACTCTAATGTTCTTGCAGTTAGGGACAATTTAAGAACCGCAGGGTGTGGCTTCCTATGTTCATGCCTTTTTCCTCCTGATTCGTTTTCTTGTGCTTTCATCCGCTAATTCCGCAGTGTCTTTGACTTTATAGCGCGATTCTAAAATTCTCGGTAGCTTATTTTTAGAACCTTTTCTCACTATATATTGTAGCTTATTTTTCTACCAGCCCCTTGCAGGTAGAAAATAATCTACCGTAATAGCTTATTTTTATACTTTTTTTTCTATCAGCATCTTGCTACTTTCGGGCTGTTGTTGGCGAAAGTAATCCTTTTTTTAAATTAAGTTATGACAATGTAAAATTTTCTTGTTGTAACATTTTATTAAATGACAGTTCCAAGATACAAGGCGTACAAGACATTGAAGCATTTTGTTTCTAGGCATGCACGCGGGTACAGCTGTTGAACAGTTAGGTTGAGCTGTGATGCTTTAAAAACACGGTCATGCGGACCACAATCTTGGCTACATGTAGGTGCAAATGTAGGTAAACTCACCCAGCAAGCTGTGCCATCTCGCTTGAATTCATAGCAATCGCACACATACGAATATTCGATGCAGGTGTGTGAGGTCCATAGCCGACGCCCGAATAGGGTTTCTCCCGTCACCTGTAATCAAGGGTGTGTTGAAAAATATTTTTTCGAGACACAAATTTCTGTTTTCTATATTTTTTGTACAAATACATGACAGGGATATAAGAACGTTTTAAAGAAGGCTCAGTTCAAGTAGCAAAGAGTGGCTTTCATAAAAAGAGTCTACAAATAACAATGCGTTCAGAATAATCCACAAGGTCTAGCTCGAAATATTCGAGTTGGAAAGATAGACCGAAACTTGATCAATTCGTTTTTATTCTTTATTGCAAATCACAAAATAATAATAAAAACAATTGTTTTGTTTGTACTCATGTGTTATATTTGCTAATGGCCATGCGCACATGTCGCTGGAACAAGAGAGACTACGTTTGAAGTTGTGGTGCAGAAGCGCTTTCCGGTTTAAAACAAAGTTATTACTCTGGAGCTATGCTGTTTTTCTTTTACTGTGCCATACTTAATATTGGCAGATTTGTCTTTGTTTCTAAACCGAACGTAAATTTCACGAATGTAGATATCTCAAAAGTGAAATAAACTTCTTATTAGTAAAATAGGCGCCATAATAAAAAAAATTATGGATGTTCGTCATGGCAAGAAACGTAATAGTTGTAACTGCGTAGCGAGTTGATTTGACAGTGAACGCAATTCTGTTTAAATAGAATGCAAAAATTATTAAAAAAGTAAGGAATTATGCGAAAAAGCCTGAATGCGTTCTAAATTCAGGTAAAATTAAAAACATTAAGACAAAAAAAAATAACGAAAAAAAAAACGCAGTTCTTTTAGTTTTTCCCTCTAAACGTAACGAGCTTCGTGTTCCAGCCCCACCGATGAAGGCTGCAACGGCGGCGTTCCTCCTAAAAGAAACGACGCCTTCCAGGAACGTCGTACCTTGGAATACCATTCCGTACAACACTGCTTGCCACTGTAGACCAGCACCCTGTTTACAGTCTGGTTTTTGTGTGCGCGCAGAAACCAGAATCCCGTGAAGTGACGCGTGTGCGCGTGCGCAGTGCCGACGGCAGCGCCACCGCGATGCCGTGACGTCAGGGAGCTGAGTTGGTGTATACGCTGTGAGTGGGAGCAATATGTGATTCCTTCTGTGTTTTGCTTGGCAGTCATAAAAAAAAAACCATAAAAGCAACCTAAACTATCCAGACCTTATATATGTTCTCGATAGTTTAGGTGGCTTTTATGAGTTGAGCATATTCATAACGATGGCAGCAGGCGGCAAGAGGATGAAGCAGTTATGGTAACACGTCAATCATACCCGCAGGTCCGAGTTGCCTCCAAAGTTGGAATCTTGTTGCGCCGCTGTTATCGCTGAAACGAAAGTGATATTACTATTCCAAGTTTTAAAAACAACAACAAATGGCAGGGGGGTAGAAGATTTCAACCGTGAAAGGATTTGCGCCAATGACATCCGGGAAGCAACAGATGCATCTCTGGGCAAGGCCTCTAAACTCGTCAAACAAGAAGCTGGGGCCGAAGTTGACGAAGCGCACAAATTGGCCTTTCACGGCGATGACTTCGCGCTTGATATATATATATATATATATATATATATATATATATATATATATATATATATATATATATATATATATATATATATATATATATATATATATATATATATATATATATATATATATATATATATATACACGACAAGAAGTGTAAAAGAGAGTAAACGTATTTCCAAGTCGACAAGTACATCATAAAACTGCACTAAACGCTTCGAGGTACGTTTACCCTCTTACAGTTGTCGTCGTTAACTCATTGTTTGGAGCAGGTCAGGCTATTTTTCGTGTTTTGCCTAATTAACTCGTTAATCAAGATTAATTAACTTTAGAAATATTCGATTTCCAGCAACGTTCCAAGGACAAAGTTGTAGAGCGTCCTCAGAAACATTCAATTCAGTGCTTTTATCAAGAAACCTCTAACGCGGTTCGTTTTCACGGGCTTCAAAAAAAAAATGCCCAAATCATTAAAAAAAACACGCGAATTTCTTATTAGCGTTCAGTCAACAGTGCTGTATTCAGCATGCACGCCTAGTTTATTAAAGCCACGGCTAAGAGCGTTGTGATATAAGCCGCACCTGCTCAAAGTCACACTTTTTTTTTTTCATAATTCGCAAACTTTTTTTAAGGCCCATAAAAAAAAAAAAGGTGTCATGGTTTCTCGATACAAAAACCCTGATTCAGATGTTTCTGAGGACGCTCTACAACCTCATTCTTGGATCTTTTGCTCTAAATTGAATATTTCGAAAGTTAAATAAGCAATCTTAACGGAGCTAGCTTTACGCCTATCCACTGATCATTCGAACCAGAGCTCGGCGTTCTGACCACAGTGCGCGTTCTCGTCATCTCTTCTCTCTCTCTCTCTCTCTCTCTCTCTCTCTCTCAGTTTCTCGGCGCATTGTTAGAACCCGCAATGTCGAGTAAAAGCTTAGTGTTAGTGATGTACCTGGAGCGCCTTAAGATGCCAAAGCCTACTGTATTAGACCCTTTTTCAAAAGTTCGCGCCAACGCCGGTCCGGCATTGCTGGCTCACATACTCTGAGGATGTACTGGCATTCGCGACTCCAGCGACCTATAGGGGGCGCCACCGCCAAACAAACATGGCGGCTGGGTCCGGGTCGCGTCGGCTAGGCCGGGCCGCCTGAACGAGTGGCGCATTCAATTTAACAGATTTTCTTTTGTTTAATGCCCAATTTTAAAGCTATTTGAACTGGGACGGTTAAGTGTAGCCGGTGCGCATAAACTTGCCGAGCATAGTTTAGTTTTGCCGGTGTTTTTTGTTCTTTTCATGTCAAACTTTCGTTTCGGAGACTTCGTTCAAAACCGAAACTATGGGCTCCGGAGAAACGGTAATAGACTCTAATTAGTTTTGATCATCTGAGGAAAGCGGCGATGGCTACAGAATTGTTCTACCGAGAGTAATTTTTAGCTAACTCGCATACCTCGACCCTGCGACTTATCTGTTCGAGAAATCGAGCTTTTGTGCGTATCCTCGTTTAAGGAACAGCTCCAGTCGTATGCTCGGTCAACACAGGCTGCAGGAAAATTACGAAAATTAAGCAAGCGCTTTTTGAGCCAAGCAGCCTGTTAACCTGCTGGCGCTTCATAAGCAGCTGATACTCGTATTTCAATTCAGGGTTTAGTAACAATCGAGAAGTCATTTTGACGAGCGGGTTATGTATTATATTATGTACTATGTCCCATTAAAGCGATATTAGTATATCCTTTGGGTTGAAATATGAACTTAGTTGACTAGCTATCAGGTGACCTGCTGAATAAAAGTATATTTGACAGACAGAGAGATACTACTTAAACTTAGCCAAATGGTTCTAGCCGGTAGCACGGAGACGAATGCGGACAAACTGAGGAGAGTCCTCATCGGAGATTCACTCAGAACCTCTCTGCATTGAACTTGACTTCGAATCCTGAACGGATAAAATTAGTATCTTTGTGACCGGTAAACCTGAGCAATGTAGACGTGCATTGCTGCTGGCTTCGACGGGGGTATAATATAAATATTGGAGGCGCGATAGATCCTAATGCCGTGACAGCTTCTAACTTTGGGAGACGCATCCCCCCACATTTTGAAAGCAAATAATTTCCCTCTTTAATCATATGCAGCGAGCAGGTTTTTCTGAATCAAGTAATTGCGAAATTAGCCCAACTCCTTCAGTGTGGTCCAGAGGCTTTTTCAGCGAGAAGCAGCCAAGATGAATAGCCAACGCACCGGCGGGCGTGGGTGGCTCAAACTTGAAGCTAATCGAGCACAACCAAACTCAAGAAAAGCAGCTATCGAACCTTCCCATTCACTTGATGTGCAACATTGGTGTTCCCTCCAGTGAAACACCTCGTCTGTCGTCCTTAGTCCACCGTTCTACATCCTTATAAAGAAACCACTTATCAGTTACCAAGTAGTCGTCACTTTGAGTGTGATTCAAGACAGGAAAGAAACCCAAAGCACGCGACCGTGTGTTGTGTAGAGTAAACGGGCTTTCAAACACGTGATCGAAGGAAACAATCTACTGAGGCTTCACCATACTAATGAACACTCGGGCAAACTTGAGAAATATTCGGATCTTCGTCAATTTATATTGTTCGCCACCGCGCCGACAACACGTGTCCGCGAAAGCCGCCAGAGACGCGGAGAGGCGCGGGGCGACCTGGACCGGCTGGTTCCCGGTTTTCCCGCTTGGCGGCGTCCGTTTTGCTGGAGTCGCGAATAGCCTCCTCTATACTCCCAAACCCTGGCAGTTCGACCACGGAGCCATAGAGTGCCCGGTCGCAGATTCGGAGCGCGAGGATCTGGTCGCACTAGGCACCCAAGAGCCATTTCTCGGGGAACCTCGAGTTCCTGTATAGGCTCCCTACGGGAGCCAGAGTTGCGCATTTGTTTTCCCCGCGCCGCCACGCCGCTATTCGCCGACATCCATCACGTGAGGAGCAAAGCATCCGGTGGCGTGCAAGAAAGCCACCTTTACGGTCGCTCCGCCAACGTTTCTCTTGCCCCGGCGTATGTTTCCCTGCTTTCCGCCTCCTTTTCCTCCTCTCCTGTTTTCCAAGCGCGGCGGCGCGCGCGGCGCCGCTATTCGCCAAATTTAGTCACGTGAGGAGCAAAGCATCCATCTCGTGCGGGAAAGCCGGCTCTACGGCCACGCGCCGAGGCTGAATGCGCAACTCTGCTACCGTAGGTAGCGTATACAGGAACTCTAGGGGAACCCGGACGTCAGCGCAGAGCTTTTGCAGCGGCGAAAGCCCGAAACACACTTGTTCGCTCGGGAGAAGTGTGTTTCGGCGTCTCGCCGCAGCGGGTCGCCAGTCACGTGGCTCTCCTCTCATCCGTTGTCTGTCGCTCCACCTTTTCCATTTCGGCGGCCGCTTCTCGTGGCGATCTACCAGGCTTTGCCAGTATATAGGAGGCATACGGTACTGGACACTAGAGCTGCGTCGGCGTTCGGCGAGGACTCCGATCTTATCACGTGCCTCGTGAGCGAGCAATGGCGACCGCCATTGCTGCTTGATAGACTTTTGAAAGGGGTCGGTGCTTTTTCGCAAATGTTTGTTGTTGTAGCCACCGAACGCTTCAGAAACGCAGTGCGCGGGGTGACCCCAGCGTCTTAATATTACTCCGCAGCGAATTATATAACGGCATATTATCCGATAAGAATGCCGATAAACACGTCACTAAGCAAAAAGCGTAAATACAGTAGGCCACGGCCTGCGTTTCTTAACTCTCCCTGACTATGCGGACTGCGAGTCGTCTGTGTCTTGCACAGGAGTTGCGGTGACATCAGAACGACGCCGAGCTCTGAATGGCTTTGTTTGAAAGGATAGTGGGTAGACCTCAATGCTAGCTGCCTTTAACGTCTACCCACTATTTCTTCTTCAATCGTCCAGTAAAAGCTCGGTGTTCTGACATCATCGCAGCCCCTGTGCTAGAAGCAGACGAATTTGCTCTCTGCATATCTAGAACTTGGACACAACTGCCAATTTTTTGTGGATTACGCGTTGATGCACATAGAAAAAGTTATATTTTTGAAACCCTAGCCAAGCCCACACCAGAGTATTAGAGTGCACTAAACTAGTTTTGAACTGAAGCGCTAGCTTAGTTCGAATGACGATTTCTCACAAATAATATACAATGGCCGATATAAGTGGAATGTTGCACAACACCTCGTAAACGTTACCTGCGATACCGAATACCCAGTGTGATTTTAAGATGGCAAGCACGAAATAATAGAAGTGTGTTTTTGTTTTGTTATTGTCTCGAATTCGCTGCGTAGTTATGTCTGTCAAATATTCATGTAGAAGCAACCGTTAAAACACAGCTCTTCAGTTCGAAGCTGTGTAGCTATGCCGAAACGGCAGGATAAAATAATTTGTCTGTCTATTCGACGTAATATACAGTAGACGTGGTGAATAAAGTGGCATGGCTTACCAGCAAGGAACAGCCCAAGCACGACGATAGTGAGACAAGATGCCATCTTGACTCAGACTTAGTCGATGGATATTGTAGTGTAAAAACAGATGCTGCAGTGGTTCTTTTTATACAGCGTGCTTCAATATAAATCTTTGACGCGAGGTGAGACGGAGAACGTGACCGGAAAGCTCAGTTCGCATATTGCTTATCAGTTGCACTAAAATTCCACTAAGTGTAGGTGAGCCTGCCAATTCAACATAATAGAATATGCTGCCGACATGTCTGCATTTTCTTTTTTCGCAGAGTTCAGCTATAACTGTTTTTTGTTTTCATAATTTTGAGTTACAAAGATGTATTAGGGTTCAGGGTCCTTCCGCTTGAGCCTGTGCTTGTTGAGCAATAAAAACGAGTGCGACTGAACTGCCCTATTTAGTACGTATAGTTCTACATTACTAAGGCTTTTTTAACGCTTACAGAGGTAGC